ATATAAATCCTAGCTGTGTCAGTGCTGGATAATATGCAATAAAGTGCAATATATTGTAAAACACTGCTTCTCCTGTTTTACAATTATGACATAGGGACCTGTGGGAAAGTTTTGCCCTGTACCCCGCACAACCTCTCGGTGTCCCTGACTGTTATTACCACCAAGTTCAACAATTAGATAAAAATCTTCATAGCTGGGCTACTGTAGACATTTTGTGCCCATACCAACACAAGAAGGAATATTAAGTGTTTTTCTAAATGAAGGTGATATTGCATATTAAGAGGACAAGACTGAACTCTATGAAGAACCCCCATCAACAACACTGTAATTCGAACAAAATGTTTTGGCACAAATGTTCTGAAACAATAATTGCCAGGCATTTTCGAGAAGATGTTCTTGTTTTAAATAACAGCATAAACATGCAAAACATCTGATGCTACATGACAATATCTTAGCTACTGTGCCTTACCATAAATCCTCTAGCTACTGATATGGGGGGGGGGGGGGGGGGGGGGGGTGTAATACATTTCTGTTTTAGAAAGGTGGGTGGGGCCGTGGGGACTTACATCTATTTTAGAGGGGGGAAATAGGGATTTATGGCAGATGGAATAATAGAAGGGTTGTTGCCTAGTCAACATTTGATTTCACTATTGTATGCGGGATACAATGGATATCATGGTATAAAATAATATAATGTACAATGTCAACTAGTGTTAATAATTTAATTAATAATGGCAGTTCTGACTTCTGAGTTGTCAGATCTCAAGATATATTCCAAGACAAATTCCAATATATCACAACAAGAGAAATCTTGTGATATTGAAGCTCATTGTCACCTCCAGAATGCTAAAAGATACTACCATGCATTGCTTTTAATAAAAATAATATAGTAACTATAAATATTATACAGTTGTCATCTTTATTACTTCCTGAGGTGTATATATTTCATGTACTGTGGGTGTATATCACAAAATCGTAAAGAGTTTCAAGGCAACTCAAGTGTCATGATAATGACTATACCTCATGCTACTATGTTTCAGCCTACAGTATGAAAGTTTTCCAATACTAAAATAAAACTTTGCATGCATATACAAAAATGTATCTAGCTTGAAAGTTCGATAATTTTATACAACAATCATGCTATGTGAAATAACACACAATGTTATAAAGATTTATATTCAGATATCTGATTATAGTAATATAGATTACAAATTGTATATAGTAAAATAAATGTAGAAATAAAAATAAAGTTATGAAGCCGTCTTGAATAAGAGCGCATCAATAAAAATATTAACAGTAAATTATAGTTATGGTTTCAAATCTCTTGACTTTCTTTGCCTGTGAAGAATATTCGATCAGATCTGATAAATAAATATTAAATACATAGTCAGCATAATCCAATGTAATAGAATCCCAGCATAGAATTTCTGACCAAAATCACTATTTAAATTAACGACAGTACGTTAAAACCCAAGTTAAACAAAACATTTACCTGAATATAAAAGACATCGCAGCAGACAACAGCACGCGCTGCACTGAATATCGCACAAACGCACTTTTAGGGCAGCCTTGTTGGTGTAATATTCTTTCCGCGTTCTCTTGCTGTTTTATATGTTTCAATAATTTACTAATAGGTGGATTTGGTTTCATAAAAGTCGCAAATTTGTTGAAACCTTTTCGAATTCTATATAAATATTTTCCATTCACTCCTCATCACCTCATGTGGAATATAAACATCGCGCGTGTATATGGTCAATTATAGGACTGGAAAGGAGAGGTTTATTTCCGGTGGAGTCCCCTGTAAACAAACGCCGGGCACATGCGCAGAAGGGACTTATCCCCCTCTTTAAATGTTTTTCTTTACATACATATACAATCGTAAATCTTTCTCATAAAGGTAACTTACGGTTGGCTATTTGAATCACAATTATACTAAACTAAAATAACAGAACAAAGTGCATGCAGTATATATATACAATGAGATAAGTCAAATTGTTAGTAAATCCGGATTTTCCCATTCCTTATTTCGGCAGCAAAAAATGTAATATGTAGTTCTAATAGCAATAGTCATCATTTTCCTAACGCAGTACATTTGGTGGTTTTTGTCAAGACCAATGCTTTCTAACATGTCTAAGAATGTATAACATTCTTCTGCAAAAATACCTAAAGAGCTGATGGAGAGATTTATAAATTTAACTTGGTTAAAATTTTTACCTAGCTGTCTCAATAATTCTCTATATTTATCCTTCTTCCGTTTTACGTTGTTTTTGAGGTTTGTCTCATAACCAGTGGTGAGTTCAACCACATATAAGGAACCATTTGAGCACGATAATAACAAATCTGGGCGATACGTATCACCAGTAGTAATAATAATAATAATAATAATAATAATAATAATGGAAACTTTATTTAATTTTCTAAACTTACAACTGCAAATGTGAAAAGAGTAAAAGTCAACGCTCTGCCGAACGCCGTGGGTTTTCCCCGGGTACTCCGGTTTCCTCCCACAGGGAAAAGTTGTCAGGGTGGGTTAGGTAAAAAAAAGGGCCCACAGTAATTGGCATATGCTGTTGTGGTGACCCTGCCCTAGTTGGCGAAGCTAATAAAAACATTCAGAAGACGAGGATAGCCCCCATCTTTGAAGGTTCCTACGGGTTGGCAGCGAATTGTTTATATACCGAATGGTAAAGTTGAAAATGTTTTTAGGTAATTTGGACTGACAGGCTGGCCAGATCGTATTTACTTGGGTTAGGGAAAATCTTGATACACTGGTAAAGAATGAGCCTTGGTATGTTAGTTGGTTTGTTAATTTATCTACTTGATCATCACGAAATGACTTAATCACTTCCTTCGTCGAACTGTATTGGTCGTATTGAATATTAGTATGATTAGTTGTTGATTTCCAGAGGTGGATTATTGATTCATTACGAGATGATTTTAAAGCATTCCGAATTGTTACCTGGCATTGTAAAAACTTAGTTGATGGGGGGATGATGTTAAGACCAAATTTGTTGCTGGTTAGGTAGATATTACTCAGCGTTCCAGAAATAGGTACTTCAAGCCATTTGCGAACATATTGCGTAAATAAAGAATCCAGGTTTTCCGAAATCCAGGTTTTTGAAATAGATGTAATAGTAAGATGCCAGGAGAGTTTCGATAAAACATAACGATTGTAGAGTAGAATCTAATAATAATAATAATAATAATAATCGGTCCTGGTGGAAACGTTGACAATCTGTCAATATCGAATTACATTTCAAGAGATTAAAATCTCCTGCAACAATCAGCCCGCACCCAGGGTAGGTACTTTCAATCGTAATCAATGATGCAGAGAGAAATTGTAGCATGTCATCATCATTGGCGTTAGGTGGATGGTAAACAGCATCAAGTACCCAACAGGAAAATCCGAGGGGGAGTCTATTTGGATGAATGTCGACCCAAAGAACTTCGTAGTCTGGATGGTGGAGTCATGGAGTTGTGTTCCTAATGTGTACTCCAACCCCTCCATGGGAACCCGAATTGCGATTTTTATAAACAAAATCGTAACCTGGACATATGGTAACAACTTATAAACATTTTCCTTCTCTAAAGCAAAATATATTATCAAGCTTGGTATAACACGATTATAGGCTCTGGAAGAAAATTTTGAACCAAATCAGTACTGTTTGCATCACAAGATGTAGACCCCAATGTACGCATGCGCAGAAGAAACTGTACTGAATTATTAACTATGACACTTCGTGAAATACGTTTGACATGAAATACGTTTCCTGAAATACGTTTGACATGTGACTACAACTTTACACTATAGGAATGTTGGAAATAGAAACAAGTGTAGGGAATCATGAAGTAGAATTAAAATAAAATATAAAAACACTTCTTTCGACATGTCCAAGAATATTTATTTATGTATGCAACGGTGCTATATAGTATTAAAGACAGAAGAATTTGCTGATTGTTCGCTGTCGAGGTTGTTAAAATCATCGTTCAGACATCTCGATGCTTCCAATCAGCATAAACTTCACAAAATTTAGTATATTTCAGTACCTAATTAAAATTATGATCAGTAATGGCCGCTACGGGAATATTATAATTCAGACAAAAATAAGCCTTGTGCGCTTCCTAAGCTAGTTCAGTTTTGACTTTTTCTATGCTCAATTGATAAATTAATTAGAACATGAAATTATACGTAATGTATAGGAGTTAATTTTTGCATGAATCAATCAAACATTGATTGTTTTTAACATTACCAATTTCAAGATAATTAGAGTCAGTGAAAATCTTTTAATTAAACTAAGATGCCACTAAAATATACTAGTACAAAAATAATTTTATGTGTTGTAAAACTATATAGTTATAAGCCATTTTATAATAATATATATTTGTTGCTTTTGGGTAGCTTGATAAAAGCAATGATCCAAATCGTTTATTTTTAACTTCTAGGTTATCGTCATTAATTTTTTCATTTATAAATACTACTAATGGTCATAAAAAGCAAACATATTTAAGAGTATTAGCAACAATTCAGAAGTTAATATTTTCCTACTAAGATTTTGTTTTATAGATATTCCTTTGCAAGCAGTGCATTAAATTATAATTTTTACAAAATTATACAGTGTTCTCCGGATTGTAATTATTTGTTTTAATCAAATAATTACAATCCGGAGAACACTGTATAATTTTGTAAAAATTATAACTTAATAAAATGCCTGGATTACAAATCTTCAAATCTATTATATATATATATATATATATATATATATATATATATATATATATATATATATATATATATATATATATATATATATATATATATATATATATATATATATATATATATATATATATATATATGATTGAGACTTCAGTGATTATTAGCATGTTTATTTCTTGTATATGGCATTTATCATGCATGTATATATTATATCGTTTTATCGTTTGATGACAACAATGAGATGAAACTTCCAGTGAATTATTCCCTGTCATCATGTAAAGATGCCAATATGGTTTCCGTTTTGGTTGGATTGTTTATTACACAAAATGAAATATCTCAAGAACGAAATGTGGAAATAGTAATACATGCGAAGAAAATTTCTTCAATTTTAACAGTTCTTTTATCAACGGCAATAAACAGTCACCTATCATACGTATACACGATTTTCTTGATCGACATGTATCACTTTTCATTTGCTGGAAAAGATTGATGAAATACAACTTGCATGGTGTGATTGAATAAATGAACAAAGTTGATACTGAAGAAATGAAGTGAAGAAAATGTAGACTTCCATATAGCTTACATTGCTAGTACTCCTTAAACATTCAGCTATAGCTACTTAAGATATATATATTTGGCCTCTCCAATCAGTATATTAATTTAGGTTATGTGCGTATATATGTTTATATTGGCGAGTCCTTTTTCCTTGATTATACACGCGTATCTGGTCGAGCATCAGAAGGCAAGCCATCTTCATCAAAGCCAGGTATTGCATCAATACTAGCAAATGGTGAACCACTATATGGCGATTCTCTGTCAAATTGCCAACCACGTGCTGAGTAAACAGACATCGACTCATTCTCAAAACCATACTCCTTAAATTTGGTTGCCTTCGATGTATTCACAACACCACTGAAATTTATATTGGAAACAAACAATTAGTTTTTGGGCATATATACATGTATATGCTTATGTCTCTTCAACATATACTCCACCTATATATTTTATCAAATATTTTTTAACTATAATAAACATTGATGCTTGTATGTTACTCTGAGTGTATATCCACACCGGACAAGCTTGAAAAATATGCCTGGCCACGGTGGGAAGCCAGGTATATTTTTTCAAGCTTGTCCGGTGTGGATATACACTCAGAGTAACATCACAAGCATCATATTCACCTGAGTACATAACTCTAACATAGAAAAAAATTATAATAAACATTTCTGTAAGCATACGCCTTTTAAGTGGGCTAGGTCAAGCTTTTTGCACTATTTTGATATGGGCAACCGCATACAATATATATATAGAGTTAAACTTTTCTGTACGTATAAGATGTATGAAAATCGCTTTACTGTAGTGCAGCTCTAAATCAGAAAGATTGACATATTGCGATGAATGTTAAAAGTATACTGCTAATTGCATTAATGTTGTCCGCCGACAAAGCTAAAAGGTAAAAGCCAAGCGCGAAAAGTACGATGGGTGCTATGAATTAAATATTCATTTCGCATATTCATCATACGGAAAAAAGTGTGACCAGAATGGCTAGTTTAACTAATTGAGCCCGTTGAGAACGCAAATGAATATACAGTATTAATGTCATTGGTAGGAATACGATATAATTATTTTAGGCGATTCCCTTGTTGACAAGGAAATCGTTATTATGGAAATTCCCTCACAACGATTCCACCATGCATAACAAATGCTGCAGAAAAATAATTTATAGTTTCGTCCCAGCATGGCCGCCATGCATATAATTATCGTGCAATACCTCGACCTGCAGTTAAACGTTTTGTTTAAAAAATGCATCGTGCGTATTTTCCAAATTGAAATAGTGGGAATCGGTATGAAGGAGGTTAGCTATTATTTGGGAACATCGGAAAAATTAACCGTTTGAATTCCCGGTACGTAAATAAATTTACAATAATCAGAAGCGTAAACACATGAATAAATTCGCTGCTTTTTGCCTGTGCATATTGTGTCGTGCACTATTACTGTATGTTTCATAGCGTTGTTAATCTTGAAAGGGCCTATTTAGGATAACTTGTAATCGTATCAGTAAGATCTTTATGTTTTATGGTTAACAAACTTGAGCCGTGCCTGTTTACAGTAAGGGACATTTAGGCCTACCTGACATTTACCTGTACCTGGAAAGTACCTAGCCAGGCCTTACACGGTGTGTTTACATCTGTTACCTAACTAAAGACCCAAGTCCCATTGAATTAGTCATTATAGTACATGCAAAATCAATGATATCCGCTGAGTGCTGACATCAAAGACTCAAATTTACGTTTGTTGTCATGAAAATTAGGCTCGAGCACGTCCTGGGTCAATGAAAATGTGTTTACACCGCAGGCCTGACCTGAGACTGACCAAAGATCATGTTTTCAGGCCACCTCTAATACTTGGCCTGAACACATGGTTTTAGGTCGGTCCTATAGATCAGTCTTAGGTCAGACCTAGTGCGGTTACACTACAAAACCAACATGTTCTAGTCGGTCTTAGGTAAGATATAGGTCTCTAGTGTAAACACGGCTTTGGAGACTTGACTTACATACATTAAATCTACTTCAAATGCAATCACTGGCAAACTCCATAAACTTTAGTTATACTGGTTATATTAGGGAAAATAGGTATTTATTAAACGCAGTTAATTAATACAATCTATAGTCATTCCCATCGTACTTTTCGCGCTTGGCTTTTATCTTTTAGATTTGTCGTTGGAAAAACTTAATGAAATTAGCTGTATTCTCCATGTATATTTTATTATATTCACTTACATGATAATAGACAGAATCACAAAGAGGAACAATAAAGCTCCACCAATGGATAATCCTAATATCAAAGGCCAATCCACTTCGTTATCGCCACCAGCACCTGTGCTTTGAGGCACTGTAAATGTTAGGCCAAGAAGGTCGGACATAAATTCTCCACTGATGGCATCTTGTACACCTCTGGCTGAAACTGGTAACCTTGTCTGGGGATCAAGAACGACGAAACTGACACTGCTAGTATCATGATCAATTTGGACAAGAACATCATCTTTGGTGAAGGTTCTGGTGAAGAAATAAATGTATGTTATGAGCGAACATATTGTTATGAATGTAATCCCTTTTTGATATCACAATCAACTTGAATAAGTTTACTTTGAAGGGACATTGCTTGCTAAATGTTTTGGACTTTTACATTATCTACCGGATCTCCGGATCCCCCCGAAAAAGTCCCATTGTTTGATTTAATATATAATGAAAACTACATATTGCATCCAAATAAGTTTAGTTATATTCAACATATGTTAACTTGATATATTAATGTTTGAATTTGAATATATATAAGTGATTGAATTTGGAGTAGATTTGAAATCATGCATGTTACTGTTAGTCGACGTCGATAAACTGCATAAAACGGCGTATTAAACTAATTTCCACTAGGTCGTAGGTTCGAATCCTACCGTGGCCAGGACTATTTTTCAACCTTGCCCGGTGCGGATATACACTCAGAGTAACATCACAGGCATCATATTCACCTGAGTACATTGCACCAACACAGATAATTTCAATACAGTTGCCATGCATTTGTTCGAGATTATTGTAAATTTCAATAAAGTAAAATTAAATTACAAATTATTCCCAAGTGAATCTATAATGTTGTTCATTTTGGGAATTAAAGCGAAGAATTTCGAACATTCATGACGACAAATAGACAACTCCAGCTATATCGACTATTTTTTTATCCAGACAAGGAAGACGAAATATATCAATACAGCTCAAAAGAGCATCCTAAATTAGTAAAATTGCAAAGTTTCGTTGCGAAATGTTGTAAAATACGGAAAATATAGCCCTGTGAAGTTAGCAAATTTTGAGTATTTTAGTATTACGTAATACATTTTTTAGATTAGCATATCAAACTTTGGATCAACAAATTACGCAAATATTCTTTTGTTGCCATGGTTTCTTCGTCTAGACAACGAGTATTGTTGTCAAAGATTGACTGGCTTTTAAAACTGAACAAACTTTGAAATTTGTGACAATTATGCTGAATTAGTACATTCAGATACACGGATGCAAATATCCGAGCGGAATTGGTACTTTTACATGCCCAGGTGCATATACCCGTGCGAAAGCTAAGCTATCGCACCGGAACGGCGCTAACAAGCCTTTGGCTGGCGTTTAATATAAAACTTATAATAAGACTTTGCATAAACCTACCTATTGGCAGAACAAATTGAATTCCCAGAATTGTTCCGACAATATTCATTCAATCTGTTTGCTATTGTAGTTTGGACATCCAACCTAACATCCTACCAGTAAAAGTGAATTTGTTTATTGATAGCATATATTTAATTCAATAAATTTCTTCATCTTAAAAGGAGGGAGCTCATTGGAGAGGGGGAGGTAATAGATAAATTAAATATCGGGAATTTTATTTTCATATAAACGTTGCTTAATTGGAGCGAGTGGACTGGAACACAGGCTAGGCGATATTTAATTAGACGAATAAATACGGTAATGTTCAGCACTTGTTTTACCTTTCCGTCCAAAATTACATTTTCTACCTAGTTAGTTATTCCTCCAGTTCATATTTTATTTTATTTTATTTTAAAAATAGAACATAAATTGCCATCAAACTGTAGAAATTTGATCTCTCCAGGGACTGAATTTTTTACCCACACAGTCATACTCAACCATTTTCATGAAGGCGCAAATGTTTTTTTAAGCAACTACAGTTAGTTGCCATCTAGTAACAAAAACTGGGGATGCAGACAGATGACTAAATATCCAACGTATTACATGACTTAAAAGAAGCATAAGCAATCGTTCATAGACAAGTTAAAGGGAAAACATGTATACCTGTGTTGGATTGAGTCCATTTACTGTGAGTGGTACAAGATTTTCAGTTTGATCAGATGTCAGGACAGGATTTGCGCTCATAGTCGTATTTAATACATTAGGTTGTGATATGACATTTGGAGATGAACTGTAAATAGTGTTCAAAAGATCTGAGGCATTGTTGCTCCACTTGGTAGATTAACAAAGAATGACAGAACTGAATTGTCGCCATCTTGCGTGGGAGAATTGGGCAAAATCTGGATATTCTGGAAATCAATTTCGTTCAGTTGATCCCTATAATTAACAGAAAACGTGTTTAGTCAATGGAGGTACCACTACTGCGACATCCACGCAGAAGAATATATCAACATCAATTAATGGAATTAAACGAATTTAGTCTCCATGTTGAGCTTATTTAATGGCGCAATCTATATATTATTCGATTACATCATTATATTCATGGTCTATATAATTTCTATCTATAACGTCTTGGAGGACTCGATCCAAGTATAATTGTTTCAATTGAATTTCATTAAGGCTAGTATGCTTTGGTCTCATTTGCTGGGCGAAACGTCAGCTCTGAATTATGCTAATTTGTAATTCTTTAGTCCACCGAAAACCCACCTCGTCTATTCACTGAAGATATTATTACATTATATGTACTCGTGGTATTATAATACATATTATTTTATGGCTTTTCAAAATTCTCTATTCTGATTGGTCGACAAGGGGTCCGTAAAAACCCATATCCGGACCGTGGTCCGTATTTTCCGTATCTGGACCGGTGTCCCGGATGTCGTTTATCGGCGGAAAATTTTTGCTTTGCCAAACAGAAAAAACTTTTGCTTTTTAATTTTCTAATTGTGTGTCATTAAAATTTACAGATAAGAATTTCAAACAACCAAATTGTTTTTGATTAACCATGCATGCCTACAGTATATTGTTACCCAGTGAAACTGACGATTGCCGATTTAAATCGCGCGAAAAGCATATGCTCACAGACTCAGTTCAGCCATATAATAAACCGATTATCGACCTCGCTTGTTCGGTCTGTACTGTGAAATATCCAGACCTCTGTTTTTTGCATGGACGTCCCTCCTTCGACGCACGGTCAATACTAAAAACCTTAGTCTGACATTTCACATTATACAGACCTCACACTCGGTTAATAAGCCGTTAAAGTCATGATAGTAATGTCATGTATAACCTTCTATTGTAGTATATTTCATTATTAACATACCGTGTGAGATTGCACGAAGCTAATCGTGCATCACTCTGATTACAAAACTGGACAATTGCATCAGACATGTTATTTCGGAATGATATATCTTGTTGTAGCGTCCACTATAAATAGATTATCAATTAAATTTCAATTTAACGTTTGGAAGAAATACACGGTAAAGAGAAAAGTTTCATTTGATGTCCATCAATTTTTCGCTTGCTCGTGAACACAAATCTCACCTCACTAGGCTGGATGCCGGTTAAACGAACACTGATCGCGTTATCACGTTGATTGTTGGAAACTGTAGGTGCATTGACAACTGCAAGGGTAAGATTGGTAATTTGTGTCTGACCATCTTCTTGAATAGTCTGATGTAAAGCATCCTCAACAACACTGCTTTCTACTGGAGTCACTGTTCCTGGTTGATTGACGACGACACCTACAACTGTGTTAGTCCCGGCATCCATTACAGAGCTCCCATCAACTATGACATCATTTTGGCTAAATTGGTCGCTGTAAGGAAAAAGTCTTTGGTGAAATATTTTGAACACCACTCCTAGCTACAACTAATTTTCACAAATGTACTTTATGAAATTTAACGGGGAAAAATACAATGTTATAGTGTATGATTTTAATTAGCATTTGGGAAACCTGTCATAAAACACAATTTTATGCAATTTCACTAAACAGCAACTTATATACAGCATATATTTATGCTCCATAAAGAACAATTTAGACTTTTTATTGATTTACATTTTTATAAAGCTTCACGTAGAGGCTAAAAATTAACGCAGTCTATACGCATGTAAATATGGAAAGCATAAAACATTACAACAGTTTATACCAATTATTGTGAGTCTCTAAGTTACTTACTACAAGTTTTAAGAATATAAACCAACACACCCACTCATCTATCTAGGGACGCCGGAACTGGGAGGGGGGGACGGCAGGAGGGGCAGCCGCCCCCGTTGCCCTTTATCAGGAGGGGTAAGGAGGTCAAAGGTGCCGTTTCAATTTAAAGGATTGCCTTGGCGAAATAGCGAATTGTCAGAAATGTTAGTGCGATTATTTTACGAATTTGCTTCAGAATGAACGCAAGAAATGCAGTCATCGAGCTTCAAGAATAGCACAATTGCCTGGCGGAGAACCCCCTCACACCCCTATCATCCAATAAATAGAAAACATGATTAGGCGAAGTTCAACTCCCGATGTTTTGCAAATATCTCTTAGTATATATAAATTCAAAAGTGCCCTTTCACGAAAATCTGCCCCCCTTGCCTTCACATCGTTCCGGCGTCCCTGCATCTATCCACAAAGCACACACAAAGAATACAAAACAAAAATAAAACACCAAAAAAGAAAAACTCAAAGATTAATGGCACTATGCAGCATGTCACAGCGCTATATAGGAGAACCCAACACTTGAACATAACCCTCTCCATCACTTCTACGCTTATTGAAATTAAGTGGAGAACAGTTAATTAAATTTTTTTTGTACAAGTGCTTACACGCAACGGATATACAACACCAGATAACTAATTTATTTAAATTTTTAATCGTTATAAATTAATATTCACATACCTTGATCTCTTCTTCCTGCGGCTAAAATGAGAGTAACAAATGTTAGAAGGGTACATAAACAACTATGGCATAGCATAATATCGGCCATGTAGTTAGAATGAACGACAGTTGACTGCTCAAGCAGAATTTACTCGAATATATGAATATGCCCCCCCCCCAAATTATCGATCTTTCTACGCCTATGGAACTGTTCATATATATATATATATATATATATATATATGAGTTTTGTTATCGAGAAATCTCGCCTACTGGTGACCACGCCTCGTAGTAATTTTACAAAGGGTGCTTGCTCGATTGCATGCGACATTCTGTATGCCTATAAGCCGAGACCATGCCTGGTAGGCGAGACGTCAAAATTTTGTTACGGTTTCTTTAATGTTGGATAAAGTAAAGCAGACTTCTGTTGTTGTGACTAAAATAGAAATTTGAATTTGACAATAGCTGTTATCGTAATTGAATACGCCGCTGCGGAATACCAGCGGTATCTCAGTGGAAGTACGCACGAAAACGAGGCTAAAGGGTAAAAAAACACAAAACAAGACCCTATAGCCTCGTCTCGATGTTAAAATAATGCAGATACCGCTGGTACGTAGCATAGACGTATTCAATTACGATAACAGCTATTTACACAATTTATGTTGGGCGAACGTCACAGATCTACAGGGCTGATTGTTCCAAAGCCGATTAGCTTAATCCTAGGTTAATCTATAACCTGAATGTCAGGCCTTTCGAAGAAAATAAAGGTCCGAGGAAAAACTAGACAAAAGCCAGTGCCGTGGCTACAGAAAATCGGATTGCAAGAAATGTTCGCGGAAAGTTGTCAACCTGTATAGTGATATAACAAACCGTTGTCTACCAGTACGCCGCCCATGCAAAACAATTAAATGTATAAATACAGAATTTTTCGCCGCATGGTTTAAATTAAGACTGTGTTCAAGACTTAATTTAAATTAAATGTGTCAATGAATTTGGCAAAGCTGTTTCAAATAATTCGTCGATAAGAAACAAGTGATTTTCAATATAAATAAAACAATATAATTGAATCGGGCAACCATGCAATTCGAATTTGACCTTAGCCAATAATTAAATAAGAACCAATCAAACGACGTTACTTAAATTAGATAATAGACGATTTTAGATAACAAGACGCGGACGTCAAGAGGACGTGGATGTCGTCATTTGGCGCCAACTATCGTCAGCTTCTGGTTTGCGACGTCGTCTTGGACGATTTCACGACGCGAAAATACAATTTTCACGTCCTCTCTAGAACGTCACAGATTTTTGCTTCTTTTGAAAAAAATATAAGACTATGCATAATAAAAATCTTCCTATTTTGTTCCCCATGTATTGTTTAATGATACTAGCTAAAGTTTTTCCATTGATAAGGTTGTTTTTCTTGTATTTCGCTAAATTTTAGACTAGTTGATTTTCGACAAATACTTTCGGTCGCCATAAAACAAATCAACAAAACTGCAAGCATTGTAAATAACCACTTCAATACCGCTAGTAATCTTCATCAAAACAAATATTTTAGAACAAACTAAACTGAAGTTATATTAACAATTGTTTAAAATCAGGAAAACGTGGGAAAATAGAAAAATAACAGCACTTAAAAGCAGTAAAAACTCAATCAATTTTAGTTGCTCTGTCACAACAGTGCAAAAAGTAAGACAAGCAAAAAAGAACGCTTTCCAGCGCGAAAAACTATCGTAAACAGTATTAAATTTTACCAATATAAACACTGATGCTATATTTATACTGAACAGTTGACAAACTTGATTGAATAGGCTACAATTAGCTCGTAAACAATACCTGCAGCTGTTGTATTTATTCCAAATGATGCAACAAAGTTCACTTTTCAAAATACCGAAATATAACGGGTTTTTTTCTAAAAAAAAACTTATTGAATGTGCATGCTAATTCATCAGAAAACACTTGGCCAGTATTATGTAGCCTTTTCTTGCACATATCTTAACAACTGATTGAAAACAATACAGGAATGAACAGGTAACAAGAAAACAAAAATTTGTTTCGAAAAAGACAAACAAGTCGTCCCAGATTAAAACCCGGAAGTGAACGCGAGGTGCATACGTCATTTTCACGTCCTCTTGACGTCCGCGTCTTGTTATCTAAAACCGTCTAGTGAGTCAGCTGACCGGCCATAATATTGGCGGCGGCCACAAAATCCCATAGGCTTTTGACTAGTTTTTCCTCCGGCCTTTCAAAGCACACTTCCCAAAAGACCTGCACTTCAAAACATTAGTGCAAGGGTACCTCAAGGAAGTAAAGTAACGCATGCAGGGGTACCTCAAGGAAGTAAAATCGGCCCGATAGCATTTATTACCAAAATTAATAAACTACCGGATTTGGCACTCACTGACAAAAATTCAGGAAAAGAACATGTTTCAATTTTTATGGACGATACTACCCTATCAGAGATTTTCAATATAAATAACCCTGAAACCAACCGAGTGAGCAACATCCAAGCAAATGTTGAAAGAATTTCAAAATTTTCAAGAGAGGAAAACATGAGGTTGAACTTGAAAAAAACTAAAGAAATGGTAATCGACCTTCGAATTATGAAATCTGAAATACCAGTAATTACGATAGACAACATTCCTATTGAAAGAGTACAATCCGACAAGCTATTAGGAATTTCGCTTCAATCAGATCTCAAATGGCATACTAATACCTTTTTTTTAAAAGCCAGGAAACGCCTCTATTTTTTAAAGGTGTTAAAGAAATATGGCGCACCAGTAAAAGATCTATTAAAGTTTTATTGTTCAGTGATTCGATCGGTTTTGGAATACGGTGACATATTATGGCCTCACAAAGTCAAGATATAGAAAGAATCCAAAAACGTGCTAGCGCTGCTCTAAGGATCTGATCTAAGTTATGAAGATGCTCTTGCTTCGTCTAAACTACTTCCACTTAATCAGAGACGAGACATACATTGCAGTGACTTAATTAAAGACATGTCCTCCCCATCACATAAACTACACTATAGGGTACTTATTACCTGTGATATAGTTTAATAACATTTAGTAGTACCCATGTAAATACATGACAATTAAGTTATCTTATTCCATGTATACTATTAAAACCCAGTATTATTATTAAATGTCCATGCACCAAAAACTATATTTCCCTTTATTCACAATTGGAATTGTTATGAGCACTGAACTATACTGCATGTAACTCCCGTGAATGACTTTAAAACAATAAATGAGTATATTGTTTGAATTAGTAGCTCACCCAATGACTATAAGGCTGCATACATCTCCAGGTGTACTGAAGCAGAAAATATTCATCCTTGCAGCTACAGTTACTCTAATATCGACAACTACCAACGTATTAACCTAAAAATAATTAAAGGAAAGTTGTTAAAACAAAAATTGATCAAAATCAATTATTTGCCGCCCATCCTCCCTACTGTATATCAAGAGTTTGCTACATGCAGTAGTTGTGATTTAGTATTCATTGTTATTTGTTGTTAATTGTTTACTGTGTGTAATAGCACGGAATATCTCATGAAATCATTCAATAGTTTTAGATTGACAAAATTTTATAGCCACTAAATAGACAACATATAGATAGTGCGTACGATCAAGCTGTGAAACTGGAATCAATTGTTTTTGCTATAATTGCTTATTTTTAAGCTATAGGTCCAATTATATATAGACTGTGCATGCAGGAGCTTGTTAATTATCATAAGATATAACTTTCCAGAAAAACTTGAATGTTGATATATAGATCTTCATTTTCTTGAAGATTATTTTGTTAGTGTGTTTTTTAAATTCTTTTTAAAAGTACGTGTATACGTATGAACATGATACAATCGATAAATCATAAATAATATTGCGTAAGAAAATGATATTAATCTGGATTAATTCGTCAACATATATGCTTTCAGGTAACCTAGCTGAATAAGCAACCATAGACAGTGGAATCTTCAAATAGTTATACTAACTCGAAAAAAAAAGAGAAATTCGGTGGTTGCAGCTGACTAAATTCTCATCGCTTTAGACATTCATGTTTTCCACTCACCTTTGCAGATTTGAAGTTGAAAATTGTTATTGCCACTATGTTTTGGGTTTGGGTAGGGGTAAGAGCTGGAGTTTGACTACTTGATATGCTTTCGCCTGGATTTTCAAGTTCGCTGTTCACGGAGAGAATGTTGTCTTGTTGTGACGTAAATATGGTTGCTAAGACACTGCTAGGTAATGAACCACTACCACTTGGTAAAACTGCGTAAAATGAGAGAATAGAATCGGTTCCATTTTGCGTGGGTGAGTTCGGAAGTCTTCGAATGTGATCAGAGGTAAAACCATTGACGTCAGCGCTAAAGGCGAAATGCAGATAATCAATGTTTAATCTACAATAAACTGCACTTGGGGCTAAAATCAACTGTTCGAGTGATATGTCTGGTATAACATTCCAGGGGTGACTTGTCATACGGGAATGTCCATATCTTATGCGTTCAACAAACATTGATATAAAATTTACTGTATAGAAGTCATTTTCACATATCTCAACTTATAACATGAGAAGGTGTGGTAAAGAAGCAAGTTATAACATCAAGAAAAAAATATTCATCTGAAATTTTTTAGCCACTTGAGAAGCTATGTACGTCAAATGTATGATTCAGATTAAAACTGAATAATAAAAATAGTATTATCGGTATCTTCCCAGTTACACAGTAGTATATTGAAGAAATTCAGAATGGTGGTAGCCGAACGGCATGATGCCACCGTGGTAGTCGAAGACTTGCACCAAATCTCTCTCGAATTGGCTTCATAGAGTCTATCCCGTTTGTTATGAACAAATTCATTTCCAAATTATGAACTGAACTCATAACAGACTGTATATAGACGATATCGAACCAAGTCTGTGCTATTAACTACCATCCATATATCTTGCAATACAATCTAGGTAAAAAGTCAAATTGTGCTTGAAGGACTTACTCTGAAATGTTACAGATATCACGATGGTACGTTGACATGTTACAGAATGCCCTGATTTCCTCTGCCATGTTCTGCCGAAACAGTGTATCTCGGAGAGACCACTACATAAATAGTAAATTAGTAAATAGTTCAACTATCAATATAAATCAATATAAAATTTGAAGTACGCAATGTGTACTTTTTATCGGTGGAGGAAATTCACTTTTTCCGGGGGGGAAGGGCGAAGCCTTCTAAATTTCCGACAAAACATTCAAATTTCCGACAAACCCCCTCATTTGCGCTCGAAAATGCTGTTTTTAGCCCTCTTACAGGTCAAAATTTCCGAAAATTCGTCATTTTCCACGAAGGTGGGGAAGGGGGCGGATACCCCGCCCCACCGAGATTTCCGCCACTGCTTTCTATAATGTTGTTTTAAATCATAATAATTACGCTGCACTGAAATAGATTACATTAGCAAAAACTTCACATTAATAATTATCCTTCATTTCGAACGCGCGGTCGCCTTACTGAGCAATCGCAAATACAATAAGTATAATCTATACAGTTGACGTAAGCTATATAGATCGAATTTTAACCAGCGTTTAAAGGTTCAGTTATTTCAGCCAATAGTTATGCATGACCAGATCAATGTAATTCCAAGTCCTTTGGGTAAATTCTTAAATAGTAATAACTCGCGGTCTCGCGGCATAAATTTAAACGTGACTAGACTGTATAATATCTTCACATTGTGAAACAGCCTAATCAGACGATTTCTGGCGATGTCCTTGGAATTAAAAGTACATGGAAAAACAAACCTGATCTGCTTGGAAATTTTTCAATACGACATTGATTGCGTTATCAATATTTTCCTGTGGTAGTGGCACTGTAAATTCTAAGTCGAGAAGGTCGGACATAAATTCTCCACTGATGGCATCTTGTACACCGCTGGCTGAAACTGGTAACCTTGTCTGGGGATCAAGAACGACGAAACTGACACTGCTAGTAGCAGGATCAATTTGGACAAGAACATCATCTTTGGTGAAGGTTCTGGTGAAGAAATAAATGTATGTTATGAGCGAACATATTGTTATGAATGTAATCCCTTTTTGATATCACAATCAACTTGAATAAGTTTACTTTGAAGGGACATTGCTTGCTAAATGTTTTGGACTTTTACATTATCTACCGGATCTCCGGGTCCCCCCGAAAAAGTCCCATTGTTTGATTTAATATATAATGAAAACTACATATTGCATCCAAATAAGTTTAGTTATATTCAACATATGTTAACTTGATATATTAATGTTTGAATTTGAAGTATATATAAGTGTTTGAATTTGGAGTAGATTTGAAATCATGCATGTTACTGTTAGTCGACGTCGATAAACTGCATAAAACGGCGTATTAAACTAATTTCCACTAGGTCGTAGGTTCGAATCCCACCGTGGCCAGGACTATTTTTCAACCTTGCCCGGTGCGGATATACACTCAGAGTAACATCACAGGCATCATATTCACCTGAGTACATTGCACCAACACAGATAATTTCAATACAGTTGCCATGCATTTGTTCGAGATTATTGTAAATTTCAATAAAGTAAAATTAAATTACAAATTATTCGCAAGTGAATCTATAATGTTGTTCACTTTGGGAATTAAAGCGAAGAATTTCGAACATTCATGACGACAAATAGACAACTCCAGCTATATCGACTATTTTTTATCCAGACAAGGAAGACGAAATATATCGCTATAGCTCAAAAGAGCATCCTAAATTAGTAAAATTGCAATGTTTGGCTGCGAAATGTTGTAAAATACGGAAAATATAGCCCTGTGAATTTAGCAAATTTTGAGTATTTTAGTATTACGTAATACATTTTTGAGATTGGCATATCAAACTTTGGATCAACAAATTACCCAAAAATATTCGTTTGTTGCCATGGTTTATTCGCCTAGACAACGAGTATTGTTGTCAAAGATTGACTAGCTTTTTAAATTGAACAAATTTTGAAATTTGAGACAATTATGCTGAATTAGTGCATTCAGATACACGGATGCAAATACCCGAGCGGAATTGGTACTTTTACATGTCCAGGTGCATATACCCGTGCGAAATTAGTATCTTCGCACCAGCTAGGCTATCGCACCGGAACGGCGCTAACAAGCCTTTGGCTGGCGTTTAATATAAAACTTATAATAAGACTTTGCATAAACCTACCTATTAGCAGAACAAATTGAATTCCCAGAATTGTTCCGACAATATTCATTCAATCTGTTTGCAATTGTAGTTTGGACATCCAACCTAATATCCTACCAGTAAAAGAGAATTTGTTTATTGATAGCATATATTTAATTTAATAAATTTCTTCATCTTAAAAGGAGGGAGCTCATTGGAGAGGGGGACGTAATAGATAATTTAAATATCGGGAATTTTATTTTCATATAAACGTTGCTTAATTGGAGCGAGTGGACAGGAACACAGGCTAGGCGATAATTAATTAAACGAATAAATGCTGTAATGTTCAGCACTTGTTTTACCTTTTCGTCCAAAATTCCATTTTCCACCTAGTTAATTATTCCTCAAGTTCATCTTTTATTTTATTTTATTTTATTTTATTTTATTTTATTTTATTTTATTTTAAAAATAGAACATAAATTGCGATCAATCTGTAGAAATTTGATCTCTTTAAGGACTGAATTTTTTCACCCACACAGTCATTCTCAACATTTGCATGACGGCGCAAATGTTTTTTAAGCAACTACAGTGAGTTGCTATCTAGTAACAACTAGGGATCCAAGGATAGTGTGAAGTTTCAAATTGAAAAAGTCACTGCAAGAACTGTATCAATTACAGTTACATATTTTATTTAGAGTATTTCAGCACCACTTTCGTAGCGACAGGATTGCGTTGCAGATCGGAAGAACAATTGCCTCGTGCGAGTCGTGACACATGACCTACAAGGCTATAGGCTAAGCTAATACTATTATAATCCCTCATCTTTGGTTGTAGCCTCACGTTTCACACGAGTTGTGGACAGCTGTAGTATTTTTTTAACTACGCTATAAGCAAACAAAATGTCGAATGGGAGACAATTCTGTATTTCGCTTTTTAATGTCTGTAATCAGGTTTACATGAATCTTCGTGAGAGAAGATATTATTAACGTTAGTGCGTCAAAGAATCAGTTCGCATATTAGTATAGTCTATAGCTTTTGTCTTTTGATATCAGGAGGTGACAGTCAATAACCAGTCTACGTCATTTGAAATGTTTATTTCTTGCCATATATTTTCGTTTCTTGTTGGTTGAATGATGATCGTGGCTTCAACGTAATATGTTTTTCTTCTCTTTTCTCTCAGTTCAGATCACACATTTAAGTTAATCATGGGCGTTGTGGAGTTCTCTTGTAATTTCACTGTGATGACTGACAGTTCACAATGTATGGTTGGGATATGTGCTGGCTTCATGTTGTTGCTATTAGTGCAAACTTGGAAGTCGGTAATTTCGAAATTGTTAGCCACACTTTGAGGGTTGAATATTTGAGGTTCCTATAATCTTCATTCAATATGGTCATGATGTCACTAAAATAAGGATGAAAAGAAAATTAAATGAGTACAAGAATACTGTAGCTATATACACAGTGTCGTAAATTGCGAAGGGAGTCATTTAAAAATATATAAAATTAATTAAAACTCACCTTCTTAAAGCTTTGGAGTCACAGCGAGACTTCTTCTGCCGCTAAAGTAAGTAGCGACGTTGACCCCTCGGGAATCGAGGGGGTAATCCAGTGGTGTTCTAGAGATCTAGTCAGCACTGGGTCTGAGTCCATTTGAGTTGATAAAAGATCAAATGGCTATGAATTGATTGTATATGACTCTATATCACTATGTTCTGATAGATTCTATTAAACATTGTATCTTCTTTGTTCTGATTTCTAAGATTGTTCTGACTTGAAGATTAAGTGGCAGTCCCGCTAAGAGCGGTCCGATGACTTTGACTTCGGAAAATAGATTTCCTTTATTTTTTGTGTGTTGAAAGGCATTGCTATACAAGTGTCCAAAATAAATTTATTTTTTGAAAATTTTTTTTTATGGCTTCGCTAGACGCCGAAACTCATTTTACCAGTGCAGAGCTAATTTCAAGCAAAATCGAAGGTTGAATTTTGGTAAATTGTAGAGCCGCGCTGTGTCAAAACGCCTGACTATTTCCAAATTTCAACTAGATCAACAAGTTAAGATACAATTCAGGTTCCCTGTTCCAAAAAATAAGAGCATTTGAATAAATTGTGAATAAACGACAGCGACTTGACGGCACACCGGTTTTTGCTTCTTGTTGGGTCTAGAAAATTACACTTAAATCGAAGCTTGAGATCTCCAAATGGGGACCTAAAATTACGCTGAAATGTGCTTGGCTGTAATGATTTATACTTATTTTCAGAAGATCTGAAGAAAAACCTGCGGGTATCAATCTGTATTTGGCGCGAGTTAAGATTTTCTGGAGCCCATAATCAATGATTTTTGCATAATTTATAGCTAATTAACATATTTCTTGAGAGGCGCTAAAAGTAAACAATTTCTTTCTGACTAACATATCTCAGATGAAAGAAACTACCACAGCTAGTAATACCATTTTTGTAAATATAGTCGTAATGTTCTTTTCCTGACACGCTGAGAGAGCTTTGTTTTTGAATGTTACGCCACATTTATTCAGTCTGACCAGATTCATAATTGTAACGAACTTGTATATTTCAAAAATATCAGTACCAGAAATCAGAATTCAGAAATACCGATTATTCTTTCCTTGATTCAGTTGATGGATTTAGTTGATTGATTTAAAAAACTATAAGTATAATAGAACATTCCATGTGTTTCCATTACCCCTATATAGGGCTAGAATTTTTATCAATATGTTCTATTTTTCTGTGGCGACGGCATATTAACAAAATACGACACAAAAATGTACATTCGAATTTATGACCGACATATCAGAATGTTATTTATGAAGTTTGAATTGAATTTACTTAACGCGAAATAAATACTAAAATAGGAATTTTCTATGCTGGTTTAGTAAAAGAAAAAGCATAATTTTAATTGTATGTAATTTCGATGAATACTATAAAAAAAAATTATACGCATTGTTTATATAAATTAGCTAACATTGACACATTTATTACGATAGTAGCGACGTTTGTTTTAGCCATGTTACAAAATAAACTATAAGCATTCTGAATTTTAATTCACAAACTTTTGAAATTTATTCTCAGCTATGGAGCTCACGAATATATATTTTTTTTCAAAGAAAAATATTGAAATTCGATTATTTATAAAATTGATATTTTTGTTAAAAATGTTAGCTAATTTATATAAACAATGCGTACAATGTTTTTATAGTATTCATCGAAATTACATACAATTAAAATTATGCTTTTTCTTTTATTAACCCAGCATAGAAAATTCCTATTTTAGTATTTATTTCGCGTTAAAGGTGATCTACAGTCCGTATGTAAACAAAGCCTTTGTTTACATTTTTGTGTCCAAAATATTGAGCTTTATTCGACAACTATTTATATTTTCAAGCTTCTAGAGTATAATAAATGATCAAGAAACAACAATCAGGCTTTTTAAGAACTCAAAACATAGTTAAACTGTTTGTATCACAAAAAGTGGGCTCATTTGTGCACATGCGCAGATCGGACTGTAGATCACCTTTAAGTAAATTCATTTCAAACTTCATAAACAACATTCTGATATGTCGGTCATAAATTCGAATGTACATTTTTGTGTCGTATTTTGTTAATATGCCGTCGCCACAGAAAAGTAGAACATATTGATAAACATTCTAGGCCTATATAGGGGCAATGGAAATACGTGGAATGTTCTATTATACTTATAGTTTTTTAAATCAATCAACTAAATCAATCAACTGAATCAATGAAAGAATAATCGGTCTTTCTGAATTCTGATTTCTGGTATATTTTTGAAATATACAAGTTCGTGACATTTATATGAATCTGGTCAGACTGAATAAATGTGGCATAACATTCAAAAACAAAGCTCTCTCAGCGTGTCAGGAAAAGAACATTACGACTATATTTACAAAAAGGGTATTACTAGCTGTGGTAGTTTCTTTCATCTGAGATATGTTAGTCAGAAAGAAATTGTTAACTTTTAGCGCCTCTCAAGAAATATGTTAATAGCTATAAATTATGCAAAAATCATTGATTATGGGCTCCAGAAAATCTTAACTCGCGCCAAATACAGATTGATACCCGCAGGTTTTTCTTCAGATCTTCTGAAAATAAGTATAAATCATTACAGCCAAACACATTTCAGCGTAATTTTAGGTCCCCATTTGGAGATCTCAGGCTTAGATTTTAGTGTAATTTTGTAGACCGAACAAGAAGCAAAAACCGGTGCGCCGTCCAGTTGCTGTCATTTATTCACGATTTATTCAAATGCTCTTATTTTTTGGAACAGGGAACCTGAATTGTATCTTAACTTGTTGATCTAGTTGAAATTTGGAAATAGTCAGGCGTTTTGATTCAGCGCGGCTCTACAATTTACCGAAATTCAACCTTCGATTTTGCTTGAAAATAGCTCTGCACGGGTAAAATGAGTTTCGGCGTCTAGCGAAGCCATAAAAAAGAATTTTCAAAAAATAAATTTATTTTGGACACTTGTATAGCAATGCCTTTCAACACACAAAAAATAAAGGGAATCTATTTTCCGAAGTCAAAGTCATCGGACCGTTCTTAGCGGGACTGCCACTTAACTTGAAGCTTGTCGATATTGGGATGCAGTTATTTTTAGTTTATACGTACAGTAGCTATATTAAATTTTAACTTCTTGAACTCTTCATTTGTTTATTAATAAAAAATATCAAATAAGTGACACGAAAATAGGCTTATGGTCGCTAAAGTACGATTCTAAAACACCACTACTTTTTACTCTTTCAGGGATATTAGTGTATATATGATCAATTTGTGTTTTATAGTCAGTTGTCACTTGGCTAATAAGTTGCACGTATTGCTTTTCTTCGATTAAATATTTAGAAAGTGTATTTTTGTCAGATGCATTTTCAAAAAGGTTAACATTAAAATCACCAAGGATGATAACAGGAGTATTTGGATCATTTATATACGTGGAGTGCAAACGTTTTAAAGCATCTACGAACATTGAAATTTTTACTTTTGATTTAGAGCGATAAATTCCTACAACATGTAAATTATTTACTGGTTGGTTTACTTTGAGTAATGTCATTTCTACATGATTATAGTTGCACCTTGATTTTTTGATTACTGTCACTTTTACAATTGAACCAAGCCACAAAATCAGCCAGACATAAATTTTCCAATTTCTTCGGTCTTCTCTGATATCTTTTAATAATGTTATCTGATTCAATATCAACAGAATGATCAGGAAGTTCTTTAATTTTATCCATACTTTTTAACAAGAATGTTCTTTCATGTGGGTCAGATGTATTGATAAATTGGAATTCTCGAGACGATCGTCTCAAAGGCATTTGCATTACTAAGTAGACAGCCTCTTGTGCACTTATTTCAACAGCATTGAGAAATTTGTTACCAATATGTCTCACTTTGTTAACAATATTCTTATTGCCTTCTTTTGCTTCTTCACATGCTTTACGAAGTAACTTGCTCATTCCTCTTTGACCTTTAGTAATATATGAAAGGATATAAACAGCACAAGCATAAGGATCTAATACGTACTGAATATCCATATTAGCTTTCCAAGTTCTGAGTAAGTTTGGATTATAACAGTTGATTCTAATCTCAGCTGGCGATCGTTTCAATAACAAAGTATTATGTTTAAGAGAAAGCCGTATAGCCTTTAGATATTGCTGCTCTGATAAATCTAACTTTTTGAGAAATTCATCAAAAGTCATGGTTTCATCAGCTTTAATAGAGGCTAATAATGAACGTATCTGTCCTAAAGCTTTCTTTACTATATCTGCAACATTTTCGTCTAGATCAGTCTCAGACAAAGGCTCTAAAATCATAGTTCTCGGCATTGGCGGTAAAGGAAAGTTAAATCTGCAAACAGCATTTCCTCTTTTCTTGCATGTTTTAGAGTGTTTGTGCCTTTGTAAATTTACGAGTTCAGTTAAATCATCTGAGTCAGCTTTACATGAAACGTAGCTATCTACGAAATTGGTAATATCTTCGTCGAAATCTTTACCATACTCAGGTGCATTTTTTGTCCAGAATAATCCATGGATATGTGGAGAACCTCTTTGCTGGAATTCAACACGATAGAAAAAGTCAACAACTTCTCCAATTGGATGGCATGAACTTTTAATAAAATTGTGAATAAATTGTTGCACCATATGTTCAAAATTTCGAGCACATGTTACTGGATCTTTCTGTATCAGTTCAGACTTCTTTTGCCAAGTCATTTGCTTAACCTCGTCGTCAGTATAGTGTTTGTTGTCAATAAGACGACAAGAATTTTAATCAAATGAATCCAACGCGTTTCAGCAGCTGAAAACGAACAGAACCATGTAGGTTTACCAAGCTGACGAATCATTGCAAATAGATCCTTCTTACATCTTTCAAAGTATGGAGGGGAACCGCGTAAATTTCTTAAAACTCTGAATCCTTCATCTAAATTGATTAGCTTATTAACAGAACTTTAAGACCTCGGGCTTTTCGGGGAAAGTCATTTTGTTTGCTTTTGAGCAACTTGGAAGTTTACCAACTTTTAAGTTTGAGTGACATGTACCACATATCCATTCAGTGTTATCAATGCTCTTCAGACCAGTAGGACATATATTAAGGATTTCTTTTGAACAAGATTTATATAAAGAAACATTGCACTCAGTGACAGATGATCTATACCATAATTGGTCACAACAGGTGCAAATATATTCTGGCCCAACACTAATGTTCTTATGAAATAACTCAGTTGCCTTTGTTACGTCGATTTGTTTTCTTGAATCATCAGAGTTACCAGGTATCTGCAGAGCTTCACATGAATTGTCATTTGAATTATCTTCTACTTTCTTGTATTTAACCATCTTAGTTCCATTTTCACTACAATCTAACTTTCTTTTAATATATTGCCTTTTTTGAGTGTCTTTAACTCTTTCCGAATAGTTCTGCTTGTACATAATATTTGACAATTCCGCGACCTTTTTAAGATTTAATTTTCTGTATGTTGCAATGGCTGTTTTATTCGATTCTTTTACTTTTTCAGGATTTAATTGTCTGTATGTTGTACTTGCTGTCTTAAAAGTCTCTTTTACTTTTTCAGGATTTGATTGCCTGTATGTTGCAGTGGCTGTTTTATTCGATTCTTTTACTTTTTCAGGATTTAATTGTCTGTATGTTGTACTTGCTGTCTTAAAAGTCTCTTTTACTTTTTCAGGATTTGATTGCCTGTATGTTGCAGTGGCTGTTTTATTCGATTCTTTTACTTTTTCAGGATTTGATTGTCTGTATGTTATACTTGCTGTTTTAAAAGTCTCTTTTACTTTTTCAGGATTTGATTGTCTGTATGTTGCAGTGGCTGTCTTAAAATTCTCTTTTACTTTTTCAGGATTTGATTGTCTGTATGTTGCAGTGGCTGTCTTAAAATTCTCTTTTACTTTTTCAGGATTTGATTGTCTGTATGTTGCAGTGGCTGTCTTAAAACTCTCTTTTACTTTTTCAGGATTTGATTGCCTTTATGTTGCACTGGCTGTTTTCCAAGATTCCTTAATTTTCTCAAAATTCGAGTTTTTGTATTTCTTATTATATGACTTATTTCTCTCGCTTTCTTTTTTTTTAAATTTGTTGTTCGACCTTCTTTTTTTCATGTATTCCTTCATATATTCTTTTCTTTTCGAGACAGAGTTTTTATTACTATTAGATTGCGAATTTTGTGTGTTTGGTTTTTGTTTATCAGTTGCGGTCTGATTTCCAATTTGTTCAGAAGCAGATTGTTCAATTGGCGTTGCAGAAACATAATGCAATTCGTCAAGATGCCCGATATAAATATCTCTTACATTTCCCTGAGCATAAATGGAGGTTACAACTGTAGTTTCAGTAAAATTTTGTGCACTTTCTGTGATGTGAATTCTTAAATTATTTGCATTCGCAACTGCCTGTATGATAATATAGTCTGCCCATGAGCCTAGCCTTGACATATTCTGTAAATAATGCGACCATGATTGTTCAGTATTAGACTCTATGAAATGTTCTGGGCAGTTTATTAAATGTTGGATTGCAAGAGCTCTTATTTGGGCATGACGACTTTCTGTTCTGTAAAGCTGATGACTTACACTATGAAATAAACGGTTACCATCACCGACAATGTTTACTGGCTTTCGTCCTATTCGAGCTAGTCTTCTGGTCAATACTGACATATTTGAAATACTTACGGGACCTGGGTTTAACTCTGCATCACCAGACATAAATAAGAAATTTCTGTCAGATGTCTTTATTCTTTGCATATTACATTTACTACTGCCCACAACTTTAACGCTGTATGACTTAAACAATTTATGTTTTCTAGTTCTAGCACGCTTTGTACTGTTTTTCAGAATTGCCAAGTTGTGCATGATCATTGACAATTGTTTATGTACAACTCTTCGTATTCTCTTAGACTTAGCATGAAACGGCTTCCTAAATTTCCACATATATGCATTTGTTTGTTGCTGAATTATATCTTTTCGGTATCTTGTGGAAAGCAAATTGTGAAAGCGAGATGATTTAGGAATACACTGCTTAATAAACCGTTTTATTACACGCCTACGTTTTCTATTTTTGCTCATCAAATGAACTAACTTTTTAACAGGAATTCTAGACGGCTCTCGATCTCGGCTTTTGACATGTGTTAAATGTTTACTGCGTGACCTACTTCGACTAAAATTATTATATGGGCGAGTAGATGGCAAGGGTAATACTTCTTTCACTATACTTGCGTATGTGTTGTTGCACTTTGGTAATGCAGTAGAGTTTTGGTTCATTGTTTCTGTACTAAGATTGTGACATGTTTCAAAATAACAAGTCTCATTGACCTTTGACTTTATATTCCCAAGGTCATGCCGTGTTTCATGAGTCACTTTCAGGTTTTCGCATGAATTCAATAATGTCACTTTAGATTTCAATAGTTTCACAGTTATAGCAGTGTTTATAGCAGTTTTGATAAGCTTTGATACAGATAAGTTCTCTTTGCACTGAACACGATTTTGCACCGTTGTGCTAGACCCGTGAACAAGGTCTGTGACGGTAACACGCTGGCTACCTCCTTGCCTTTTTCTTCTATTGCGTAAAGCTCGCTGGCAAGTCAAGCGATTGGCGATAACACGTGGGCTATCTCCTTGCCTTTCTCTTCTATTGCATAAAGCTCGCTGGCAAGTCAAGCGATTGGCGATAACACGTTGGCTATCTCCTCGTCTTTCTCGTTTAAATAAAGAGCTCTGACGAGTCAAGAGGTTTTCTTTAGTGTCGCAAGTTACTTTCTTCGTAAACGCCATTATAAACTGCTGCTTCTCTTAGTTGTTTACGCTCTACTGATCTGATGCAATCATGCAATGTGTCCGCATTGATGCACCAGCCAATCATATTATTGAATATCAACATGCGATGTTCATGTGTGGGTGTTATTCCCCCTAATCTCTGGACCCTAGAACATTTATATCATTTCCATATTTAGAATCAATCAATCATGCCTGACATGTGCTGTATGTGTGGTTTCAGCAATGCAGCTCTGTGAGTGTAGTCACAGACAGAGTATTACATATTATATTCACATTTACAAGATTATGTGGTTTCAGTGTACTGACTACAGCCTCTCATATCTATTCTGCAACAGTCGCTATATGCTATATATAAATGAATATACAATATAAATAATATCGGCACTTATAAATAAAAATTAATGCCCGTATTAATGCATATTAAACATCAATATTCAGGCCTGAAATATTTATACATTCAGTGAAAACAACAGTCTCACTCTTTCCTAGCTCTGTATAAAGAATATAGCTACCGTCAGAATAATATTGGCACTTAATTGAATGCCCGTAATGCATAAATACAACATATTGGGTAGAATCTCAAAGATTTTCTCAATATTTACGTCTGAAATGTTTATAGGCCTACATTTGAATAAAGCACTGTCTAGCTTCTTCCTAGCTGTGTATATAAATGAATATACCGTCTATTAGCATCTAAACAATATCGGCACTTGATTGAATACCCGTGTAATGCATAACATCAATTTATATATTTCTATAGATTCTCAAAGATTTACAGTATTTACTCAATATTCACGTGTTTATACATTTGAAATATACAGACACTGTCGCTCCTTCTCGACATCGTAATCTTCGGCTTAGCGCCTGATATAGAGCATGCACATTTGCGCTGCTAAAGAAAAAATCGGGTGTTCCGGGGTAAAGATCCTTTACACAACACGAGAAGCACATGTTATAAAATTTACAATAACGACAACAATTCCTCGATTTTTTTGTAAACTTGGCAAAACTTGGCAGAAGGCCTAAAGAATATTTAAATAAGACAACTGAAATTGCCTAAATAACCTTCAAAGCACAGACTAAGTACGATAAATCACTACGAACATATACCGTACACACCCCCCGGAAAGTTTACTGTATGACTGAATGAATGACTGACTGACTGTTTCGTTTGAATTTCCCCCCAGTCATCACAATACTGTGAAGTTTCGAAGAAACTTCACACTAAAAACCACCAGGCTCATAAGTTACACCTTCGGCTTCCTTTAAAGCCTCTGTTTGGCGACGCCTCTTCTGCTTTTCATCCATCTGGTTATAAGCCTCTCTAATGCGTTTCTTGTCTTTTGAATATGAAAGCTCTCTTGTAAACTCACCAACAGGAATCTGGAGGCGCTTCATCACTCTTTCCCTGCTTGCCGCACCACTGTGGAAGTGTCAGACGGCTGATGCGACCGCACATTTCACCACCTTTACCCCATGATGCTTATGTTTAGGACATCGAGCCCACACTAACGAATTGATAGACTCATTATTATTTTGAGTTTTACCTCTAACACATCTTTCAAGTAGCTTGGAATCACTGAGATGCATGAATGTGGGCTTCAGGAACTCTAGGAAAACTGGTGGCAGACAATCATCTCCTTTGTACATGCTTGTACCCATTGCACAATCCTGCTGCCATTTGCACCAAGAGTTTTCACCAACAGGACAAAAGCGATGTTGCTTTGTGGGATCTTCATTCTGAATTGAATGGTTCAAAAGGGCTATTATGTTCTTTTTCATGGTGTAAACAGAAACTGACACATCATTCTCTGTTAGATTTGGGGTAGACAAGGTATTCTGCCGTATCGCTAAGCCATAATAACGCTGAATTTGTAAAATTTTCTTTTCGGTAAGTCGTCCACGTCCACCAACTGTCTTTCCATCGGCAAGTTTGCCTTTAGTAGCATTCTTTAATTTTAGGAGATTCTTTCCCATTCTTTTTTGGACATGGCCAACACAATCCAACTTTTCTACTTTCACTTCATCATACGTATCTTCAATGGCACTAAAGGCTTTGCTGTCCCCATCTGATATCATCCACTTGTATCTAAGGTTATGTAGTTCAATTGACCTGTTCCATATAATTTTTGCACCTTCCACCTCCATTGCTGGGGAATTTCCATTAAAATTTATTACGCACTCACCAGAAAACACATGCTCGATCTCCCAGTCTTCAAATTCTTCATCATTCTCACACTGTCCTTTCTTCAAGGCACATCGCTGACATGTTTTCGAAACCACATGGTAGTCAAGGACTTCCCCAGTGTCTATTGATATGGCAAACACAACACCAATGAGAGATGTAAACCCTCTTTTAGCCCATGTGCCATCAAAGCTGACTCCAACGTCAACAATGGAACCGTCATCCTCAGATTCGTTTTCTGCTAAAATGAGTTTCCTGAGCTTTTGTGCAGCCTGTCGCATTTCCTCTTTCGCTTCCGCCTCAAGAGCACTTACAATAGTGTCCAAATGTTGATAGTATGCAGTCTTACTAATACAAGGCATGTTGATGATGCTGCAGAATGTTACAAGGCTTTCATAACCACCGCCTGTCTCTACAGAATGATATACTGCTCGACGGTTTACATCAGCGGAATAACCTTTGCCAGGTATGGTAGGCGAGGTCTCCAAATCGGACTCCTCTTGGCATGAAGAGCAACTAGCTGAAAGGTCACTCATCAGACCACGTCTTCCTGATATATTTTCCTGGATCATCAAGCTGCCTAATAATTGACGATAATTATTAATTAGAAAATAAAAAGATCGATGAAATACTAGACTGCAACAATTTTTAAATTCTTGATACAATGGAATCTAGCTTTTGAAGAGAAACAATAAATAACTGAAACAAGTACAAAACATTACAACTTTAAAAAATGATGTAACTGTTTAGGAATTTCAAACTGTGTTCTATAGAAAAGATATAAACTAGTCGAAAGCATTTCAAGGACACAAAATGATAAACTATAAGAAAATTCATACACACAAACAGTGATACACAATCCGGCACAAGGCTACTTTTAGTACTTACCTTCATCACACACATGTGCTTCGGATAGTGAATCGGAAAATTTGGCGATATCTATAAGACGATAGCCCTTCTTATCAAAATCCATCACCTGATCGGGGGTTTCAATGGACTCTGGGAGGTTTAATTTTCTTCTTGATGCACTAACACGTGGTATCTCAGAGGAGGATATAGACGAATTTTCCTGGGAGGTGCTCAGCTGGTTTTCTCTTGAAACGCTCGGAGTTTTGTCATGCTTTTGCTTTCCAGAGAACGGTTTTCCTTTTCTCTTCTTTCTATACACGGTTCTCTTCTTCTCACCGACCATAGCAGCAAACAAAACAGTATTAGAAGACCACTTTTATCGCTTTTCAATATCCAGTATTTTGAGAACTTTGTATGTTTGAGAAATTGCTTTGATGAGCCCACAATGACTCAGACCATCGCATGGATGTCGCCTAGAACGTCATGTAGTCAGAAATTTAAATGGCGATGATTTCTATGAAGATTTACACGCGAAAAGCTCAAGAAAACAAGAAAATAACAAACAGGTTGCCATAGCAACCAAACTACCTTGTTTAAAAAAGAGCCTAGAACATGGTTATGAACAAGAATTTAGCCATAAAACAACTATTCCATGATTTTTAAGGATTTAAGAGGAGATTTTTTAAAAAGTCGCGTATTTTTTCCGAAAAGCGATCAAAGCTTAGCGGCCAGGCCTTCGCGAAAAAATAATGCGCTGCCATCTTGGTTTTAAAAGTTTCCCAAAATTTGCGAAGATAAATAACAGAATTTTACTGAATTTTTGTCTATGTTACGAGCCAAAACATTGCCAAATATAAAGACAGATGACATGGTAAGTGTAATGTCGTATTTAATAACTGTTATTTGAATTATTATTATATAAAATGTGCACATGTATCTGACTCAGGAGTGAGCACTGAGCATTCAAACCCGCCATCTATAATAATATTAATATAAAACTGATTGAAAGCGACTGCTTTCGTCCTTTGAATGATGGCCTGCCTGTTCACAACTCAATATATGTACATGCAAAATTGTAAAGCACTCTGTTTGAATTTTCAAGGAAGAATTTGTCAATTTGAGTATTTGTAAACAGTTTTTTCGCCTCTGGTACTTTTGCATATTTCCATATTAAAGACATTTCACTGCAAGTGCACATAGTCCATGTATCTGTAATTTTAAACTTCATACTGTTTTGTACACATGCAGCTGTTGCAGTGTTTCAGGTATACCATGCTAGTCACTACAAGTTCCCTTTCTGATATAAAGAGTCGTGATGTACTGGTACCGTAAACCTCCAACTTACGACTATAGCCCCCCCCCATGTACAAGCCCACCACATGTACTAAAGCTCACCTCATTCCAAATATAAGCCCCCCCCCCCGGAATATTAGTCCCCCGAATTGATATATTAATACATTTTTAATTTCCTGTTTATGACTGACTTGTTTATGTTTGACTTGTTTATTACTAACACTAACACAAAAGATCATTGGGTATAAGCCCCCCTTGTATAAGCCCATCAAAAATCGCTTATGAAAGTATATAAGCCAGGTTTTATAGTCGGAGGTTTACGGTATATGTATACAGTATATTAAAGTAATTGGAAACCAAAATTTCATGGGATATAAGTAACAATTGCAAGTGGAATTAATAGTTGAAACAACCTACTTTCCCTCATGCATATAACTTGATGTGGTATGAGGGTCGCTAAGCCCGGGCTGGTCTAACCTGAGATTGGGCTGTATTATACGGATAATAACCTGACACAAATCTTAATCCAATCACTTTCCACCCACAACAAAGTTTATATTTAGTATCCAATCAAAATGTCACAGGAGAAATTAAAATTTCGCACAACGACAACAACAATCTGATTATAGTTGTGATCACTATAAAATATATCAACAACAACAGTATAATCTAATTAACACCAACCAATCAAATGACAGATTGAAAAATCTTTTGTCTCGTAGACCAACCAGATTTACAACTGAAATACGGTTGTAAGGCATGTACTTTTGTTTAGGTTTGTTTCAGGCCTATTTATTTATTTATAGGCCTGATGGCAGGTTAGGGCCTGACCAACAACTGAGGTAGGATGCATCATCACTATGGACCCCAGACAGGCATGTCAATTTTTGGAATCAAAGTTGTCTATAAAGACCCAATACTTTATTTCACAAAGAACCACCTCCCCCAATACCCCCAAGTAAATCCATCCCACTGCTACATAAAAGAATACTTCTTTCCCTCTAAGTTAACAATGAAAGTATATTTTTTACAGATCTCTGCGATATTACTTTTACAACCTTGAAGATATGATTATGATGACAGATGTTGGTACATTGCAGAGTATTTTGTACATCCTATAAACTTTTTGTAATATCCACACAATTGATAAATTTGTATCATAATTAAATTTGTATCATAATCTGTAATTTAATAAATATTCATTTCATCTTGTTTCGTTTCATGTTTTCTTAATAGCCTGCAAGAAAAGATCTTCTTAGAAAATCTGATATTTTTTGAAAATTTATTACAATGTATATACATGATCTAATTGGTCCTGCCCATGCCCACCCAACTATGTTTTTTTTTGCCCACCCACCTATGTAATTTTGATCAAAGACAAGAGAGGTGACAGCTTTCCTATATGAAACTTTCTGACATATAAACAAAACAAATTCATCCCACTTACTGGTTTTGCTAGTTCCACATAATGCTAGCTCTGCAGCTTAATGGGTTAATAATGTTACCATTGCAATGATCCTAAAGAAATTGATAAAAAAGGGACAATTTTTAGGAAAATTATTTGTCTGCTTACGACAAGGACTGATGTATGTGCTAGGAACACTAAGGGCTAATGAAAAGTGCTCTAATGTTAGCAAAAGCAGGGAAAGAAAATAATACAAAATATCATCTTGTTAGAAAATAATTAGTAAATGAATTCACATTACCATAGCAACCACATGTGACATACAGGTATAGTGTACAAATCCATTAAGGGGTTGTTTACGTGAGCTTGGGTAGCCCAATCAACAGGGCTGAAACTTTATCAAGCCAAATATTGCCGGGGGAAATTTGTCACACAAGCCAAATGCATGTTAAGAACAACTTAAGAAATTATAACTATTTGTCCAAAAAATACTAATTCAAATCGATATTGTAGCTTGTACAGAAGTTTTTTCGCTAGCCTGGCTACCCGGGCTGGTGACTTTACATGAGAAAATTTCAGCCGGGTGGCCCGTTTGACTCGAGTGAGATCTCGGCTAGGCGGGCTAGACATATAAACTAAAATTGTTTTGTTAAAGAATTTGTAAATAAGCCGGGCGCCTCAGTTAACCGGGCCAGCCCGGCTACAAGCGGCTAGCCAGGCTTATGTAAACAGCCCCTAAATGCTACATTAACACTTTAGAAAAGTTTTGATATCCATAGTGATTTATAATCATGAAGAATACTGCATTTTCAGCACATATTTCCTTACAGCTTGCAAAACATCATAGAGCCACCTTAATTAAATGCAATAAAACTTGAAAAGAAAAGCTGATGAAAATGGCTAAATTCTGCGAGGACCATGCACCTAAAATTTTCCCAAACCATATTAACTTTGAAGTGTAATACATAAACTTCAAGCGTAGATACACCTTGCGATGTGCCAATCAATATTAAGCATTATTTTTGCAATTTTGTAAAGCCTTCAGTCATTCTTTTGCCCACTTGGCAGAAAATCAACATTTTCATGATCAAAAAATCTCATAATTTTTTTTTCAGAGTTTTCTTCTAGATTTTGGCCAGCATTATAATGGTACTTGATTACAAAGCTACATAGTTAGGAAACCTATTAATGTTTAACCATTAGGTAGAGTATTTTAAAACAATCAAAACAAAAGCCATCTATTTTAGCAAAAAGTAAGGAAAATGGGAAACTAAAACATTTACTTTTAAAAATTGTGCGAGGACCATTCACCTAAAATTTCTTCAAACAGGCACTGTTTTTATCCTCAAAGACTGTACTACAATGTACTATAAGTCCCACAGTGCGCCAATTGGTTTAAACGTAAAAATATCTAAAATATCCAAGGTGAATCGATTTTGTAAGTTGGCGCGAAAAATGACATACAATAATGTTTGCAGAAGGAAAATGGACGTTTATCAACACAGTACGCTTCAATACATGCATAAATTGAGATTTATTTGGGCATACGATAACACTCTTTCACATGCAATAATTTTTTTGTGAAATCAACATAAATTTCAAGGTGTATTTGCAGGATAATTTGTGGGAGCGAACGACAATGGGGCTTTTAAAGTCGAAGAAAGCTCGCTCACTTCAAAAGGCAAAATACAAATATCTGAGGCCAAGATCAAATCGATGCAGAAAAGACACAAAGTTTAGGCATATATGTTGCTATTGACGCAATTATTTTTAAGATCTAGCCACATAAAAACAGAACTGAAGCAGTTAAAATATTCGTACCTTCTTGGCTTCTGCATTCGAAGTATACCCCTCCAGAGTTCGAAGCACGTTGTTGTTGTTTAAAACGCCGTGGAGACGTTTTATTAACTTCCAGTACAGGAAAATATGCTGAATATACCATTTCATGTCTTAGATGTAACATCGAGCGAGTTTTCATGAGATCAATAGAGCAAAATTTAAATACGTTCACTCCTTTGCCGCCATGTTCCAAAAAACAACAAAATTTACTATTTTTTCGCAAAGCATCACGGTATTTTTGATCGCGAGTTTCTCAATTTTAAAAAAAATCTCCTCTTAAATCTAGCTCATGATGTTTTACCCTGGTGAATATGATTCAACCATATATGATTAAAAAATATATATTATGTGTTACTACTGCAATGCAACATTTGTCCTACCATAACCCTAACCCATGGTCCGTCTTCATACAGTGAAATGATTTGAACACAGGGCTTTTTTTAAGAACTTGTCTGGGGGGTGGGCATCTACAAAAAGGGACCATACTATACTGAGTGTGGAGAGATGACAGATGGTTGTTGGTGACAAAAAGTTTGGTGTGGTATTGTATGTATTAGTAGGGGGGGGGGGGTCTGGGGAAAATTTTTTTGTATTTTTCCCCAGGACTGAAATGTGAGCATTTTCTGAAACAGATTTTTGGATATACAGCGTTACATTGTGCTTTGATAGACCGAATCTGATCAGTTAAGTGTACTTGCATGGTATGTTTATGTAAATACCACAGCTGGGTCACTCAGGGGGTAGGAAGCTTGTTAAACTTAGTGGGCACCACTCCCACAAGGCACTACCATGGTTGGCACAGAGCAGGGAAATTTTGAAAATTTTGAGTCTCTAGATCATTGGAAATGGCATTTTCAGAGTCTTTTTTGCTATTTGTGATTATAGAAACCAGAACTCTAGAAATGGTATTTAAGTTCAAAAACTTTTTACCCTCCCATTTACCACCCCCCATAAATAATGACCACTCCCTAAGTAGCATGTTATTGTTGGGATCTCGGATCAATTTAATAAATATATAAATAGACATCTTCTTGTTTTATTGTTGCATCAATTTTAATTGGAAAAAATACTCACAAAGTAGATCAAGTGTATGGATAAATTATTCATTTACTAAAGTACATTTTTACAGTTATTTATGCGACCTCCTACCCAGAGTCCTTTCTCTTGGGGAGAAAAGACCCCGGCAGATGCTGGTCACATGATCTGCTAAAATCTAGCAGATTTCTAATTAACTATCTTGAATCCTTTATGACAATCATATACAAAATGCAAATTATAAATTAACATATAAAAATCATCCAAATATCAAATATTTATTGACCTCATCTTGGATTGCTAATTAAAAATCTGCTAGATTTTAGCAGACCATGTGACCAGCATCTACCCGGGTCTTTTCTCCCCTAAGTATGAGGTTGTTATTTATGTACTTAGTCTTATTTGCATGAGTGTACATCACAGATTGTTTTAATTAGATATACCCAGTTATATCATTTATAACATATGGTTTGTTTAAAAATGCTGGAAAAAAACAAAAAAGTTAGCCAATTGAAATAAATGCACTAATAACTTGCTAAACATAGCTAATTGCTATTTATTATATAAAAACATCTGTCAACATACACATGCTTTTTCCTACCACTTGAGTCTCCACTCACCAGGTTTCATTATGAAAATTTTTGGATTAAATCATGGGCGGATTTACTGGGGGGGGGGAGTTAGGAGGGGTTAACCCCCCCCCCTTAGAATCTCTCTAACCCATCTTATAAAGTGTTCAACCCCACCAAAATTTTGCTTCAAAAGTCTTTAACCCTAATGCCAAACCCCTGTAAAAAGCTCACTCAGTGGTGCTGCTTGCCCCCCCCCCTGAAAGGTTTCCACCCCTCCTTTAAAAAAAATTAAAAAATCCACCCTTTTTAATTATAAAAGTCAACCCTATACTTGATACACTGAACATAGACAATAGACTTCCACGACATCTGCAGCAATTAGTGGGTGCAAATACTTGCATAGTTGAAAAGCAATATAACCAACATGTTGTCATCCAGTTCCATAGTCTAGTCAATAGGCAATTCCAGCTTTTAATTTATGTGTGCAGGGGGCAACAGGCAGTAAGGTATCATATTGCTGATTATGCTGAAAAATTTTAATAAAATAAACTAAAAGCTGGAATTGCCTATTGCACTTGGGTCCCTTGGATTCAATGGTGCTGGCCATATTCTTACGTTCACTGTTTTATCTTGTTCATGAGGAGTGAGGTATTATGTTTTAATTTAATTTTCCAAATGATGTTGGTAGTTTTTCTCACGAGCATCACCGATGCACTTGAATGCTACAGCGTGGGCGATTTCCTCCTCATCACTTTCATCTTCTCACTTAAACGTCATCACTTTCTGCCCTATCACCTTGATCACCTCTTTCATTATCATATCCATCCTGAACAGGCTCAAGACCAACCAACCACTCAAGTAAATCTCTTTCTACAAAATCATAACAAGAAAATTATTATTTGATACATTATCATCTCTAAAATTAGCAAACATGTAACCTCTAAAATTATATTCTCACAACCATCCACAACTAGATACAAACAGGCATCATACTCAGCAAAATGTATAAAACAATACATACAAATAACTGAATAACAATATACCTTCAGACTCATCTGAGAACCAATGTATAAACTATACACAGTGCACATATATGTAAAAATCTATCCATACAAACAGGTATCATACTTCAGCAAAAATTTATTAAACAATTCGTTTAACTCAAAACATGTACATATGTATCACAGTGACACAGTACATATACACACACAATAGGGTCAAATTAGAGGCATTATAAACACAAGTATGACGCCATAATTTTGTACAGTGTATTTATAAAATTACAGTACAAGAATAAAAACAACAAAGCGGAAATTTGACTATAAAATAACACGATAACTGTAATGCATTGTAGTATACCAACCTTATTAAAATACTGCGCTTGTTTTCACGTTGATGATACACGGAGATTTAACGCCATCCAACTTAGAAAGAAGAGCCTCGCTATTGGGAATATAAAATTAAACACAATTCCTTTTCTCAGACGGATTATTTATAAAGCTAAAATGACAGCACGTCCCATGCAATTTAAATTAAAAAAGGTAAACTTGATATAGTAAAACACAAGTCATAATGATGATCGCAACAATACAGCAATAACATGCTGTTTCTTTTCACAAAGTATCGCAGCCTGACACTCTTGTCGTTCGAAAGCTTCCATATTGGTTTAGTCAGAGAGATGTTCACTCCTCGACAGTCAACAGTCAATGAAGCCACGCGCGGAATTAGGCGCTCAATACCCATGATGCTTTGCGGCCTGCTGTCCAACCTCCTCTGCTCTACTCTCTAGATCATTGTTTTGATCTCTTTGCATGTGTGTTCTTTATAATGACGAACACAAGAACGCATTAACGTGGACTTAGAAAATATACACCAATGGTTACTTGCAAACAAACTTACACTTAACAAAGATAAAACTGAATACATGATTATTGGTTCAAGACAACGAATTTCAAACTAACGGACCCTAAAATTGAGCTTGGTGAGTCAGTCATTAAACGGGTTCACAAATCAAAAACTTTAGGCGTAATTATTGATGAACATCTTTTATGGAATCATCAAATCCAAAATATTGTCACAAAAGCTTCAAAAGGAATAGGAATGATGCGACGAATAAAACAGTTTGTTCCCAAATCAACCTTAGTAAAAATATATAATGCCATTGTGCTATCACATTTTGATTATTGTAGCTTGGTTTGGGATAACTGTTGTGATTACTTAAAAAACAGAGTTCAGAAATTACAAAACAGAGCGGCCCGAATCATCACTGGTAAAACTTATGAAGTTAGTTCTGAGGATGTTTTAAAAGAATTACCACTGGCAACCTTTAAACCAACGCTATAAAACCAATAAATCGATTTTTATGCACAGAATACGAAACGAAAAAATGCCATCATCAATTTGCAACATGTTCAAAATTAAAATAAATGACAGATATTATTTAAGAAGTAACAATAACAACTATGATCTTGGAAAACCTGAAACAAATTTTATGAAAAAGAGCTTCAG